GAGTCTAGTACTGGAATGTAAAGCGTTTCAAGTGAGTGTAGTACTGGAATGTAACGCGTTTCACGTGAGTCTAATACTGGAATGTAACACGTTTTTTCACATGAGTGTCTGTTTGTTATAAACAGGATGACAGAAAACAAAGCAATGACAAAACACCACGTGGTAGCCAGGATCTCTCAACAGCTCGGAAACACCATAGAAGGGCCAGTCAGGGTAACAAACCAAAACCGCTAGGGCCTGAAATAAAGAACTGTCACGAGAAAGGTTAGTTTGTTAAAACTTTACACACTAGTGTGTTTAATACAACACTTTGTTTGTCAGATGATACGAGTAATAAACATAACTTTTCTTCCCTAGACAAGATGAAGCTGGTTCACAGTTCTATGTATACCAAGTTCCCTCCACCAGTCATCACCCACACAGCTTCCACCCCCAAAGGGTCACCATGTCCTTCTGTAGAACCATCAGTTCGAGATTGTATCAATCGATTTTCTTCTATGAGTCACACCAATGGTTTATACATACCAGTTGAGCAGCCATTGGTACGTGTTTCTCCTTCGCTGTTTTATTGAATTTACTAAGATGTAATTACAATTATGACGTCAGATTTCTTACTTTTGAACCAAATAAAAAAGAACCTTTCTTAGATCTTTTATATAAACTCCGTATAATCAGAACAAAAGTTTTTAATAAACATGTAGAAAAAAAGACTGTAATTGTGGTTTTTAAACTTATGTTTGATGCTAAATATAATTTGTTTTTGTAGTATATTGCATTTTACTAGGTTTTGTTTATGTTTCGAAGTCTAAACCTAATTATTTATAAGCCTAACTTACTTATTAAACAAACATAAAATATTGTTTGTGGTGTACTTGTGTTTCATTTTGTTCTTGTTTTAAGCCTAAACTTTACTGTAGCTAAACCTAACTTGCGTACTAAACTAATTTGATTTTCAGTGGTGTTAAGCCTAAACTTAACTATAGCTAAGCCTAAATAGACGAGTTTCCAAAAAAAATCAATAAAACCTCACTTATTTCATGTTTCTAATAATAGTTCTCGATGCTTCAATATATATTTTTTTCTGTTTTTCTGCGAAGAATATTTAATAGATTTGATCTATAATTATTTATGAGCAACGTTTCGAACACGCATCTTGTAATATTGGCAACGTTTCATATACGTACGTCTGGTAATACTAGCAACGTCATCATTTTTCATTGCTGATTTATCCAGTGAGCGCCACTGATCGTGTGTATGTGTATGTCACTACTTTAGTACCAGAACCTTTACGGCCAAAACGTCAACATATAATTTTCTTTCTACCCCACAGAAAGTAAAGAATGCTCTTGTCACCTCAGCTGACCATCTCGCCAGCGTTTACATCGATGTTCCTTTTACGCAAAAAGAAATGAATCCACTGGATTTTAACACATCTAGCTATTCCCCTGTGAACAGAACCTCAAGGTCTGAAGGAGACTGTAGTCACAAGACTTCTGAAATCACAAGTGATCATGACCAGCCATCAGACGTCTTGTTTAGTACCCAGTCTTCCCTCTCTCTGAATAACAACACAACTCAGTGTATAGAGCTTCGAGAAGTCGTCAGGAACGAGCCTCTAGGTGGCAGCAGTGTGTCTTCCTACACTTTAACAAACAACAGAAGCTTCTTATCTGTAATCCCACAACACCACTTCTGGCTCTCTTCTGACTTCTTCGATAAAAATATATCTCGGACCAGTAGTTGCTCTCCTAATTCTTTAGCGCGAGCCGGTGAACTTTCGCTAGGGAATTTAAAACATGAAAGTGGGTTAGCTGCTGAGTACTTAAAACAGGAAAGTAGCTTACCTGCTGAGTTCTTAAAACAGGAAAGTAACTTACCTGCTGAGTCCTTAAAACAGGAAAGTAACTTACCTGCTGAGTCCTTAAAACAGGAAAGTAGCTTACCTGCTGAGTTCTTAAAACAGGAAAGTAGCTTACCTGCTGAGTCCTTAAAACAGGAAATTGGGTTATCTGCTGAGTTCTTAAAACAGGAAAATGGGTTATCTGCTGAGTTATTAAAACAGGAAAGTGGGTTATCTGCTGAGTCCTTAAAACAAAGTAGTTCGTCTTCTTCACTTGGAAAAGAAGCTTTTCTTTCGCCTCATCATCGAAGTCAAACATATACATCAATAGAGAAAAGCCGCAGTATTTCCCCAGCGTATTCAGACGACCAATACAACCGGCTTCAAGTGTGGCCTGAAAAAGACAGAGTTACATCTTGGAAGACAAAACAACCACATCTAGTCCTAACCCAGGTTTGTACTTGTTCACAAAACTCAATTGAATAGTGGAGCTAGCTGACAGTGACAGTTATAAAATATGCGACACACTAAACTGGAAAGTAAAGCTAGTTGACTAACGTCTATAGAAGACAAGACACACTATACTGGAAAGTAGGGCTTGTTGACTAACGTCTATAGAAGACAAGACACACTATACTGGAAAGTAAAGCTAGTTGACTAACGTCTATAGAAGACAAGACACACTGAACTGGAAAATAGGGCTAGTTGACTAACGTCTATAGAAGACAAGACACACTATACTGGAAAGTAGGGCTTGTTGACTAACGTCTATAGAAGACAAGACACACTATACTGGAAAGTAGGGCTTGTTGACTAACGACTATAGAAAACAAGACACACTAAACTGGAAAGTAGGGCTTGTTGACTAACGACTATAGAAAACAAGACACACTAAACTGGAAAGTAGAGCTAGTTGACTAACGTCTATAGAAGACAAGAC